TATTATTATCATTATTATTATCAGTATTATCATCATTATGATTATCATTATTATTATTAGTAGTAGTAGTAGTACTAGTACTAGTACGGGCCCCTACCAACTACCTCTGCTCCAAGCCCTCTTAAGAGCACATCCGTTTAATCGGTATTTACGGTGCGTTTGTCGTGTAATGCCACTTCTTCTTGCCTCAAAATCCATTCCTGGATTTTCATAAAAATTGGCTTCGGATAGGGAGGGGTTGTGGTGGGGGGGTGCAAGGGTGGGGGGTGGGTGATGACGACACTGTTACACAGACACCCCGAACAATATCTTCAGAAGAGCCGTTTTACTCGGTAATCACAGTACTCTCGTGATGTCGGACTCTCTTTTTTCGTCACCAAGCGTATAATGGTTTCCTAATGAGATGGGAATCTTGGGTGGGATGATTTCCGGAGATAGCTCGGCTAGAAACTGCTCGATCCGGAGCTGCTGAACTCTAAACCCTAAACTCTAAACCCTCAACTCTAAACTCTAAAGCCGAAACTCTAAACCCTAAACTCTAAACCCTACGCCCTAAACTCTAAACCCTAAACTCGAAACCCTAAGCTCTAAACTCTACACCTCTGTACCTATGGTAATTTAAACCCTATAAGCTTGATCATAACTCGTGGTTTTTGATCATATCTTGTGGATTTTGATCATAACTCGTGGCTTTTGATCATAAACGCATGGCTGTTGATCATAACTTGCGGCTTTCGATCATGGCTCGTGGCTGTTGATCGCCAACTCGTGGTTTTTGATCATAATTCGTGGCTTTCGGTCATAACTCGTGGCTTTTGATCATAGGCTGTTCATCAATAAACTCGTCGCTGTTGATCATAACTCCCGGCTTTTGATCATAACTACTGGTTTTTGATCATAACTCGTGGATTTCGATCATAACTCGTGGCTATTGATCATGACACGTGGCTGTTGATCATAACTCGTGTCCTTTGATCATAACTCGTGGCTTTTGATCATAGCTCGCGGCTATTGATCATATCTCGCGGCTATTGATCATAACTCGTGGCTTTTGATCATGGCTGTGGCCTTTAAGGTTCAGGGTTCAGGGCTGGCCTTTAGGGTTCAATTTTTGGGCTTTGGGCTGGCGTGTAGGGTTCAGGGTTTAGGGCGCTTGGTTGGCCGTTAGGATTCAGCGTTTAGGGCCCTGGGCTGGCCTTTTGGGTTCAGGATTTAAGGCTCTGGGCTGGCCTTTAGGGTTCAGGGTTTGCGGCTGAGGGTAGGGTGGGGAATGGCTGGGAAGCCCATAGATTTGGGAATTACATTGTTGGAACTGGGATGGTGTGATTGCGGTCGATGGTTTGGTGACGTGTCTAAAGTTGTTTATTGAGTTCAAACTGCAACAAGTAAACGTGCTATTTCTAATGCGGGGGGATTCTATGGGCGGTTGGGGTTTTAATTCTTGGGAATAACATGAAAAGCAATTTTCAAACCCAAAGCTGCTGAACCCTAAACCTTAAACCCTAAACTCTAGACTCTAAACCCTAAACCCTAAAATGTACACCCGAAACTCTAAAAACTAAACGCTAAACTCTAAACCCAAACCTGACTGTGGAATCCCGGCTCGCTGGAGCAGTGTCACGAAGTCGGGGCTCTCTAGAAGATCCTCCTCCTGCAAGGGTTGAGAGTTTTGTGAAGGAGTGGCTCTTGGGGAGATGTATGACCATTGCTATTATCAGTATTATTGCTATTTGTTATTAGTATCATTTTCTATCATGATTAATACTGTTGCTAGTACTGTTTGTTATTTTTGTTATGATGCTGCTTTTCCGTGGTTTTTTTGAAGGTGGACATCGAGTGCCCAACAAGTTGGATCAGACCAAAAAAGGGCCAATTCAACACATTCTCCAGCTGCCAATTCTCTTCCGACTTCTGCGACTACTGCTAATACTTACACTGCTGCTGCTACTGCTACTACTGCTACTGATACCGCTGGTAATACTACTACCACTGCTGCTGCTGCTGCTTATGCTTTTAACCCTTAAAGCCCGAACCCATCCCCCACAAGAAGGTCTTGAAACTGATGCAAATCAAGGTGAAGCTCTGGAGATTCGTTTATTCTAGCGTCAGCTGTGTGGAACACCAAGCAAACATCACAATCTCAGCGACAGAACTGACAGTCAGAGTTGTGAAAATTTTCGGGAGGAGTCTCATGAGACAGCAGGGCGAATACTGTATGGGCAACACGAATACTATGAAGAGCAGACCGATCAAATGGCCATGATGCCTGCAATGGCAAGTAGTAACCTCGACGATTCCACTAAGAATCATGCCGTCAGCCTAAAGAGAAACGTCTGCAATGCCCTTCAGCCGGAATTCGCCTTCTTCTCTGTGATGGCAGTGCTGGTGACTTCTGCCAGGCTGGCGATGCACTGGCAGGGCGAGTTGGGTGTGCGTGTGTGTGTGTGTGTGTCTTTGTGCGTGTGTGCGTGTGTACCTCCCCTGCAAGGGGACGGAGAGGGTGCAGGGGAGCTCCGTCCANNCCAACGAAGCTCTCCCCTGCACCCTAGGGAAAACGTACCTGCGTAGGTCTGCGCCTGGGCCCCGGCGTGGGCAGCTGGCGGGACCCTCATCCTCATCTTCACCTTCATCTCATTTCGTGCTGTGTGATTCTGTCGTCTCACACAGCGAGGGCAGGACCCGTACCCTCACGGATCATCTCATTTCGCTTTCGTATGCCCTTCCTTTGGTCTGGCATACTTGGCACAAGACTTTCATCTCACAAGTGCGATGACGCGACGCGTCATTGCACTTTCGTTTTCATCACCGCTACCAACTTCATCATATTTCACCTTCGTAGAGCTAAATCCAACCGAGAATGCGCATCCTTTTATCAGTTTGCGTATGCACTTCCCCGACTTCGCTGTAATTTCTCACCTGTGCTTCCTTTGCCCCTAGAGTCCCTAGAGGGCCACACGCGTCCTGGAGCTTCGCAGCAAACGTGGCCATCATCTCCTCATCGTTGAAATCCTCATCCTGAAAAAAAAAACAGGGCTTCCGGACCTGCAGCTGCTGGAACCAGGCTCTATCGGATCGCGGGAGCTTGGAGTTTCGGTACTTGTTACCTCGAGCTGTAGAGCTGCAGAGAGGCCTCCTCATGCGCAGCCTCCTCCTCCTGCGATGCGCGAGAGACTCCGACTTCCCAGAACTGCGATTCCAAGGCCGCAGCCGGCCTCTGCCTTGGACTCCACTTCGGGAGCAGCAGCTGGCGGCTCCTGTGGGTGTTTGGGGGCCAAATGCCCGGAACCGCGACCCAGGGCAGAAAACAAGAAACATCTCTGGACAGCCTCCAGCTCCTGATCCCGCCGCTCACCCAGCTTCGGCCGGCGCTGACAGAAGAGAAGGGCTCACAGGCAGGCATTTTCGGTTGCAGGGGACCGGAGACCGAACAAGGCAGAACTGGATTTGCTGACTTGCTGAGTTGAAACGCTCTGTGGCAGTGGCCTCCCGGGGAAGTGGTGGCGGCTTGGCCCTGGTGGACAGTGCCGGAGCCTGTGTCAAAGTCACACAACGAATCTCGGGAGCTTAGCCCAAATCCCGATTTGAGAAGGCACCAACACAACGCGTCGGCCGACCACGTGACAGGAGGCATTGAGCACAGCTAGAAAATGTCGGCAGGCGTGTGGTTTCCGGACTTAGCCATGGATCCCTGTTTCTTTGCAGGGCCTTTAAGTGTACTTAGTCGCTTTCGTTGCTGTAAGTCGTCATCAATCATCATCAGCCACGAACAGTCGTAACCGTCATCACCAGCATCATCATCTTAATCATAACAGCGTCTGGTTGTTGTCGTTGCCGCTGCCGCTGTCGTTGTTGTTCTTGGTGGTGGTGGCGCTGGTGGTGGCAGTGGCGGCCGTGGTGGTCCACGACCGTTCACGTCTGTATACGTCTGTATACGTCTGCGGAATGGTTTTAACCTGGCAAGAATCACCACCTACCCCCCCCCCACACCCCCACGCCGCTCCAAACCCAGAACAACCGAAATGCCCGGTCGGATGGTAATCATAAGTCGCTGCAGGAATCATAAGTCGCTGCAGGAAAACGACCGACTAAATACGGGCCTCAAACTAGCTGCAGGAAGTATGGTAAATACCGAGTCGTAAGCTTATAACTTGCAGGAATCCTGTTAAGTACCGATAACACTGATAACGCGTGAAAGCACTCCAAAAGCACAGGAGCCCCAACAGCATAAACATCGCAAATACCGAGTTAAAGTGCAAGAAAGTGCAGGAAAACACTCGCACGGGTACCACACGCACTCCAAGTACAAGCCGCCCGCACAATGCGGGCAAATTCATGCGCACTCAACAGCTCTACCATGCCTTCGGCTCGGACACCTGACGGACGAAAGTTCGTTCAAGAGCGAAACGCACGCAGCACCGGGAGCTTTCGTGCAACTTACGAGCATGCGGGCTGCCGCCGTGCGTTTTGGGTTCTCCTGCGAGCTCTACGCGAGGAAGGATTTTGCGGAACCTGGCTTTGTAATCATGTCTTGTGTGGATCGAAATACTTCACTTGTACATTGAGCAGCGAAACGAGCAGGACATTAAGGACCGGAACAAACTGATGCCGCTCAGCCATGCAGCTCATGAACAAAGCGAACCGTAGCTCACCAGCCAAACAAGCAACATGTCCCTTGTCACAGGCTGCACGAAAACGATTTAACAATCCAAAACATCCCAACCAAATCAGCGTCGGTCGCAGCTGACCCGCCTCTCGGCTTGGTGGCGGGGGCGGCATCTTGGCCTTCGGCCTCAAAGGGGGGATGTGCAAAATGCGTGGGCATCCCCTGTTGTTGTGACATCCTCGGACCCAGGACCTAGAGTTCTGCAACGTGCTCACGTACTCTGATGTTCATCTCCAACATGATCTGGTACGGTCGTTGTTTCTAGAAGCGCAGACGTTTGCATGCTTGGCAGCTTCAAGTGCTTCGGTGCTTGCTTCGGCTCCGGCCGGGTGGTAGCAACCACGGCAGCCATGGCATCGTTTTTGTCCACCTGGTGCAGGGTCTCGGCTGGTCAAGCTAGAACACACCCCGGGATCCCCACATGCCAACGCAGATGCGGCTGTAAGGCCCTGCTGAGGCATGCAGAAAGGTGCAAATGCTCCGCATACTGCAAAGAACAGGCACATCTTCGAGGAACCTTTCCAGATTCTGACTGCACAACCAAAAAATCCCAACTGCAAAAAGTCTCGTTCCAACTCTCTTGGTCTCAATCCCACACATGCCCGTCCTCCTCCACAACATCATCTTCCTGCGAGGGTAAGCAGCATAGGTAGCAGCAGGTAGCACACACTCAGTTGCTGCTCCGATGCCTGGAGTGTAACATATACCTGCCTGTAGCAGCTCGCTACAAGTAGCAGCTTGAGCAGCGGCCGTCCTCTAGCTCTTCCTCCTCTTCCTCCTCAAACTCCTCCTCTTCTTCGTCTTGCAAGTCCGCATCTGTCGGTCCTGTACAGCATGGAAGACAATCTGACAAACCAAGGAATCATCCACTAGCTTAGAAAGAGCCTCGCCTGGCGCTGCCAGAATCTTTGCGGTGTCTGACTCCTGGTACAGGGGGGCATGGCTTTTGCCGCACGTAGCCTGCACCCTCACTGAAACCGGGATGCCATCCTCGGACTCGTCGCTCTCACATGCTTCCTCCTGCAACAGGAGGTCGTTGGCTGTAGAGGTGTTTTTTAGTCCACGAAGCCTGCGAATCATCGGCGCAGTGCCGGAACTGAAAACCAAACTGCCCGAGCCCACCCTGAAAACCCCCAAACTGCTGAAGCTCCTTCCACCCTGCGTCCTACCCATTTAACAGTTCGGCATAGCTGCTGTGATGATTCATGCGAGGGTGGAATGCCTTGGACCAATGTTTGGAGGAATACCCCGAAATTCGGCAAAAAGCTGCAAAAATCACCGATTCAATGTACAACGTCTGATGACTCTGGCTGATAGCTCAAGGGCAACATGCAGCTGTGCACGAAGAGCGACAAGCATCCAGTCTGAGCCTCATCTTCTTCAGATCCTCGGCTTTGAGCAGGAACTTGTAACTCTTCAAGGATCGGACCCACTGAGGTGCCACCGCGTCTCCGCTACTTTCGAGGTTCTCCGGCTCGTATCCCGGAAGCCGAAGGCCATCGTCTGTGGCAGTCGCTTCGAGGCGAGCACTGAGGGGCTGGTGCTCTGCATGATGACACCTTCTTCTAGCTACAGCATAGTGCACTTCACGACCGTACTACATCAGGCCGCTCTTCTCAGGTGCCATATACGCACAGGACGAGAGAGACAGACATAGCGTCCTGCAAGGAGTGGAGAGTAGGATCCTGGACTGGCAGGCAGACAGACGGACGGGAAGTCAACCCATAGCAGTTCGCTGTCCAATTGCAACACGACAAGTTACTGATGTTTAGGAAACCCTCCCAGATCTTCGCGAGAGTTCATCGCTCCGCTCTTAACTTGCAATCTGCCTTGCTATCCAACTTGATATGTCAAATGACTCATCCCAGCACCTCGGCGGTGTAGGAAAAAGCTGGACTCTGCCCCCAGCAAGAGCGAGTCGATCTTGGCCTGCAGCTCGGTCATTCCCAGTGTACGGAAAGCTCCAGCATGGCTCCAAAGGTGGAACCTTGTGAGCCCCTTCGAGTCTTCACGGCACCCGGAAGCACAACAACAGAGGGCGGCTGGCCAGCAGGCTCCAGTCGAAGATCCGCTTCGGCGGTGCCTTTTACGGTGTCCGGTTCTCAGATCTCGGGCTTCGAGTTTGGGCGCCGAAGGTTGCACAATGCACGCAAAACTGCTTTGTCTTCGCACCACATATTCTGCGCGATGTATGCCGTTGCGACTACTTTGCAGCTCGCAGATCATCGCAGGTTTATCAGGACTCGAGGCATAGGGTTTCGCAGGGATATAATCAGGCCTCCTCTTCTTCGGCCGGGGGCATCTTAAAACGAAGCTACTGGCGACGCTTGTTCATGTGATTGCTTCTGGGGCTCCTGCTACCACAAGTATATACGATGTAGCGCGGGCTCCAGAATTGGGCTTCGATCCGAAGAACCCAAAGATTAAAAAAAGAAAAGTGCCCAGCCACCTGGCCAGGATCCTCCAAGCGCCGACGGGCGGTAGGAGCCTGCATCCACAGAGGACAGGATCCTGTAGGCTCTGGAAGAGTTTCGTGTCCCAGAATTCTGAGCAGATGGTGAATGGGCAGAACTTGCCGTAGGTATGGGATGGATGCATTCGACATCAACCAGTAGCCCAAAATCCTAAAGCGTTCAACCGGCAAACCACGGTACACCTTTACTGCCTGTACTTGTCATGCCTTGGCAGCAGGAGCCGACAACTTTGCCTGGCCAATCCGAAAGCTACGATGTGGGAGGATGAAGCTGCTGCCATTGGGCTTTGAGGCTTTGAGGCGTTCGGTTTTGAGAGCTTCTGCGATGCAGCGCGATGTGCCTCCGCCTTGGCAGGTGGAGAGGCGGCCGTGACCTTCAAAGCGCTGCTATGGGTCGGCAAGTCGCGCATCCGGCTGAACATCTGGCATGAGAAAGGAAGCACTTGGGAAGGTCGTACCCCGGCCCGGCAAGCTGGCGCCCGCCTTTAGCTCCGATACCGGAACCGATTTCGGCTGTGGTAGAGCTCGGGGTCCGGGGCGCTTGGCCTGCGCGATCGGCTCTCTGAGCTCCAATCGCCGTGAGCACGGGATACGGTTATACAGAAGGAGCAGAACAAGCACGTCTTTGTGGGCTCATGCTGGCCAGAGGTGTCACACACAAACCCGAATGTCACAGAACTCCGAGAGCGTCCGAAGCCCGGCCGCTGCCACCGACGACTGTATAGGCACCTGTTCCGAAGTGAAGGAGCCTTCTAAAGCTTAGATTGGCTTACACATGCAGCTGTGCATCCATGGGTGCGGTCTACAAAGCTGCCGGAAGGAAATCAACCAATAGAGCAGCTGCCGAACGTGAATCACTTCCAGAGACAAACAAAGTGCTCCATAACTTCACAGGTTTGTGCTCATCCCAGTTGCGGCCGCCTTGTGCGTCCCCAACGGAACGGTCTTCACCTGGCAATGACAAACTAGACAGAATGCAATGCCGCATGCTGGGTCGGGACTCCTGGGCACAACGCCCGTCGAATGTCTTTAGGGCATGTGGCATGCCGTCAGAACGTCATCACCACCGGTGCAAGGTGCCTCGGGCTTGGCAAAAGCCGGCGCCGCTGGAGCACTGCTAATTGGCGTGGTCGTCACTGGAGTAGACGTCACGACCTCAAGTCGTCGACTGGTACTGGCCGTGAGCACAAGCAAGAGGCGGACGATGCGTGTCAGCATCAAGGGCCTCCCTTCAGCTTGGCTGTCCGAGTTCCGTGCCGTCACATCAAGGGGCTCTTTCTGATCCTTGAGCTTTAGAAGCCAGGAGTTTCGGCACGGACTCCACGACCCCTGCCTTCGCCGGCGCTGCTTTGGCCGGCTTGCTTTCGACGACCTGGTGTGTGTGACTCTGGCTATCCAAAGAGCCGCGTGCAGGCGAGTCTGGCGACGGAGCCCCTGGACCCTGCCTCAGGCTTGGCCTGGGGCGAGGAGACAGGCAGAGTGGTGACCGGGGTGTCGGTCACCGGCGTATCGGTCACCGGCGTGGAGGCCACGACCTCATCGCAAAACGCCACAGTCTAGAACAATCCGAAGTTTCGAAAGCACCGCTCAGAACTGACTTCCAGAACAGTGTCGCCGCCGAGGTCGTGGCAACCACGTCGGGCAGCTCTTTTCGAGCCTTGTTCGGTCGAATCGGGCTGGGGCAGATCAAGCAGCCAGGTCGGCTCATACAGTGCACCAACCTCCTGCATGGCGGCATTTGCTGCATCTGCTGCATGCTAGTCGAAGACTGCCTTTGGTGACGAGCGCAGGACCGTGGAGGCGGCTGGAGGAAGCGCGGCCGGCTTCGTTTCGACGGCCTGCCCAGTCCTAGCTCCTTAGCTGCCCTAGCTCGCTACGCTCCTGAAGGCTCCCTCCTCCCCAAAACCAAAAGCATCGAAGATGTCACGAATCTTCGACGGAAAAGGATGGCACAAGGCCTGCAGCCCCACCACTGACAGGACTGAACGTAGCCTTCGCCTCCGGCTTTGACTCCGCTATTCTTTGTGCGCGTGCGGCCTCGGCACTCGGAGCGTGCCGACTAGTCCGAATCTACGAAACCTGCAAGCAATGAGAGTTTAGTCCACCTCAACGACTGTCACCGCACCATCTGTGCTGTGACCAAGAAGAATCCGGAACGACTGCTGCACTCCTTGTGAGCGATGCGTCCTGGGCTCCGGCTGGAGCTTCGGCCTTGGCGGCACCTGAAAGTGCATGTGGTGCTGTCAGATTCTCATTACGACAAGACTGCCTGGTGGCTTCGCCACCGCCGGCGCTGCGCCGGTGCCCACCGGTTCCTTCCCCAACCCCAGTGTTGTAGAGATGGCTTCAGGGCATGCCTGTTTGGGTTCTTTGAGATGTGGGTTTTTGCTTGGTGCTGCCGGCTTCCCGTCTGCCTCTACTTTAGGCCTGCATGAGTTGAGTCCTTCTGGCTGTAAGCCTCCAGTGCCGCATAAGCTGACTCCCCTTTCCGTCCTGGGCGAGAATGCTTGAAACGCGTCCTTCCGCTCCAGGCAGCATCTATCCCTGAACCTATGAGCTGCCGGCTTTCTTGCTTCTCCGGCTGCCTGGCACCTCATCTCGGACTTCACCAGACCAGGCGAGATGCTTGGAACTGCTAAGCTTGGGACGTGCCACTGGGGCGGCTTCCTCACAAGCGGAGGCAGCGGAGACAGGCCGCGAAGCTGTCAGCGCTGTTTCCATTGGCCCACTCTCTTAAGAAGAGGCTTCTGCAACCAAGGCTCCGCTGCCTCGGCGCCTGTTGGCAGAACTGCTGTTTGCTTAAGCTGCAAGCCCAGACGCAAACATTGACAACCTCTGCTGTCTCGGAGCCCTGAGGACGCTCTGTTTCGGACTCGGACTCCTGCCTTGACCTCTTCGGAGAGCTTCCTGCATCAGACTCGTCCAAAAGCAGCGAAGTCAGCATGAGGAGGGTCAGGGAATGATTCACTTAGGCCTGCCTTCGCTACGCTGATCTTGTGTGAGTGACCCCTACTGCACTAGCAATCTCTCAGGTGATAAGCTCCTCACTCAGCGTGCCTCGGGTTTAGGCGGCACCGAAGTCGGCACAGAGGGCACCGGTGTCTGCGCGGCCACCGGCGCAGGTGTCCCAGGTGCAGTCGCAGGTGGGGGCAAAGGCAGAGCCGAATTCGCCGGAGCACCTCCAGAGCCGGGCTCCTGCAACACAGGGGTTGCCTGCACTTCGGCTTTGATGTCGATCTACCAAGTATGATCATACCCAAACATGCGTACCCTGAGCTTGGGCGGTTCGACCATAAGCCACACAGAATATACCTCTATGAAACCTTTCACATCAACCCGAGTATCCCGGGACAATGTCCTTCTGCAATCGCCAAGGAGCCTCCTGGGCTGATCGTGCGCGTGTGGAAAGTTCACCGCTGAACGTTACGAGTCCCGCGGGTCGCACTTAAGGAAGCACTCTAGCAGACTCGAGCAGGCTCTCACGCATCTCAGCGTCGGCGGGCATCCCAGCTGTGCTTCCGCTCGCGCCGGGAAGAGCACGAAGCTCGGGAGCGGCAGCAGGAGGAGACACAGCGTCTGCCTTCACAATAACCAACATGCCGCAACGATGCCGTTCGCAGATCAGAGACATTGTACCCAAGCGACCACAATCATCGGAGGAAGCTCGCTCGCAGCACCTGAAGCCTGCAGCAACAAGTTTTGCAAATCGCAGGTGCAGGTCTCGGAGTAGTCCAATCTGAGCGATCGACCTCTTTTGCGGCTATGTCAGCTGCAGGCACTGTACTGGCAGTCGCAGCTGCCTCAGCAGAAGCTGCAGGAATGCCTTGCCTTATTGATCGGCTCAGCCACCCCAATGCCAAGGCGCTGCTGGAGGTGCCACGGCTGCATCTGCATACGCCTCGTAGCGAAGGGCGTACATCTGCAAGCCTATCCGGAGAAAGACTCTTGCATCTGTGGCACTGCTGCGACGGCCTTGGCTTCACTGTCTGGCATACACAGACGAATGCTGTCTCTCGCACAACCTACCCTAGAAACAAAACAAATGACGACACGTAAAGTATGACCTCGGGCTGAAAAACAGCTAAACATGTTCAAACACCTTCGGCACATTTCGGCATTCTCGTCTGCTGAGCAACATTTGCATCCCAGGCACTGCTGCTAGCGCTTCCGTCATTGCTGCATCACTGTATGCCTTGTAGCACCGCCAGATGCAGATTCTCTAATCTCATTACTATGGCCTGCTCCGATGCCAATCCGTCCTAAACTCCACTGCAAAACCTGGAGGTCCGACTTGGTATTCACTTCCCTGCCACAGCCGTGGGCTCCACCCGGCACACCCAAATTCATCTGTGCCACTGCTGTCGCCTGTGGAGCTGCATTTGCTGCGGCTGCCTCCTTGTACGCCTTGCACAGCTGCAACTCTGCGTCAGACGGCGTCCCCGTGACAGCTTCAGCTTCTGCTGCTCATGTGCGTAAGACATGGGTTCGGTCTCTGGGTGCTGCATCGCTAAGGCTTCAAGACTTTCGATCGAGCAGGTATGAATAAGGAAAACTACTGACCAGCACATGCCGGACCATTGCCAAAAATGCTTCCTGCTTTCAACAAAGACAATCTCTGATTGCATGCAAGGCACTGCTACCAATGCCTCGTTTGTTGCTGTCTCAGTGTAGGCCTTAGAGCAACAACGGATGGGCAGATTCACTGCACTGATTTTACTCAGGGTCCCTGCCAGCATGTTACACTGTCTTCCGGGTGTGGCATGGTGTCAACAGGTTTCAGCTTTCCCAATCCGTCAGTAGTGCTGTAATAAAGAAGCTACAGGAAATTGCGCCCACATGCATCTGTGCCGCTGCGAGATGTTGGGGAGCTGTGTTTGCTGCAGCTGCCCCTTTGTATGCCTGATGTGCCGTTAAGCTCGTAGCAGTAGCAGCAGCAAAGCGAGCAAGCTATCATCAAGCCGTTGTGCTGGAGGCACAAAGTAAGTATGAAGGAACCGAACACTGTCAACGGCACACTCAAAAGATGGTGGACCGTTGTCGAAACCGCCTGCTCTAAGGCGCAGCATCCTCTAGCAACCTTTGCATGCAAGGCACTGCTACCAATGCCTCATTTGTCGCTGCCTGCAAATCCGCCTCACAGCCACAAGACGTTGTCGCGTACAGTGTGGCCTCTACTGGATCTGAACTATCGGTTGTCCCCCGTCTGCCAACATCGCTAAAAGCAAAGGAAAAACTTTCGAGACACAACCTACAAAGCCCTAAATCAAAATGAAAATGGTGAAGATTGCAATGGCATGATTCAGAAATGACTTGAAGCTACCAAATCCAGAAGCTGCACGGTGCATCTTGGCCCTCCGGCCATTTGCGGTGCTGCATTTGCTGCAGTAGCACGGTTGTACGCCTCGTCAGACAAGTTTTTGAGTCGAACCGCGACTATGCACATGGTGAAAACATGTAAAAACCTGCTCTCCACCGACTCTGCCAAAGGTCCGGTTTGTTCCGAAGAATGAACTTGCTGAGAGGCTCAATCAGAAGACTTACGCTGCAACCACGCCACGGCCACAGACGGAGCTGCATTCGCAGCCGCCTCCCGGTATGCCTGGGATGGCGTCAAAAAAATTGCTGCACGAACGCCGCTCTCACCTCAGAAGTGTACGACTTAGCAGCCCATGTGCCCGACTGACAAGAAGTCAACACCGACAGGGCACCGCAGCTAACGCCTCGGCATTCGCTGCATCTGCGTATGCCTGACTGGCAGTGTCATGGATTCTTGCTTGTCTTTAATGGAGAAGACAGTGCTTAAGACGAGAACGTCCCACTGCAGACTCCTGCACTTGAAAGTAGGCATCGACCCTGCACACATCATGAACCATGAAGCAGCTTTTCTAACATGGTACAAGCTGGGCGCTTGCGAGCAAGGCACCGCTGCTAATGCCTCGGCAGTTGCTGCCTCCGTATAAGCCTCACAGAAGCAGAAACCGAGACATGGCTGCTTAGACGGTGTGTTGAACAGAACAATGCCCTGACGCTCCAGAACAATGCCCTGACGCTCCCTGCTGTTGAATTGCACCTACGACAACCCAGCAAAAAAATTGCTTCCAAGCGGCTGCTGATGCAGGAGCTGCATTTGCGGCGGCTGCTTCCCTGTATGCCTCGCTCAGTTCACAAGCTGCATGTCTCTAAAAGCGACTGCCACGCTATGCTTTAGGCGTCTTAGCGAACGCAGCACGGCCGATTGCTTCTGAGACATGACACCTTGAGCAGAAAGAAGCTAGAATTCGCGTGTTCACCTACCAAACCAGAGGCACATGCTTGCCCACGTACTGCTTGCCGTCGCTTGCCCGTAATTATTCGCATTCAAGTTGCTGCTGCCAGTGCCTCAGCCGTGGCTGCCTCCGTGTATGCCTCAGAACTGATTGCACGTCAATGCACTAGACGCCCAGGTGCGTTCGGCGATTGCCGCGAAACAACAGCAAAATGACAGCTCGGGAATGTGTCTCCGCGACAAGCCGCCATGAAGCGGCTTTTAGGCCTGCAAAGGCCTCTGCGTAATTCACGACACTTGCAGGCTGGACGCTAAAGGCAGGATCACGTTCTTAATCAGAACCTTCGAATCTTGTCAAAATCGGAGAGCTTCAGACGTGCTTCTATGGATGTCTATGGGGCCTTAATATCGAAGAAGAGTCTTGAGAATCTGAATTCAAGCTTCTAGTGATACCTACTCAGAAGCAGAGCACAAGAATCCACGTCAATAGACTGTGACCCATGAGGTCCCAGTGGTGGGGTCGTAGGTTGTCCAAGCGGAATACGAAGATCAGAAGCGGTAGTACGAGATCCGAGCCACCGCTGCCAATGCCGGAGTTGCGTTGGCAGCATTGGCCACAGCTGCCTCCCTGTATGCCTGGGTCATGGAAATCATCGGAAACTCGGCACGTTCCGAACTTGAGAACAAAACGAATCGTCAGCACACCAGCTCGAATCTGCCTTCGATAGCGACAACAGAAATTGATGCGACTCCAACCACCGGTCAGAACTTCAAGTCCCAAATTTGGCAGCCACCGCGAATGCTCCCTGCACACAAGGCTCTGCTGCTAATGCTTCAGCCGCGGCCGCATCCGCGTATGCCTTTCAGCTGACAGGGGTGTAATGTCACAGTGTGTCACATTCTGGTATCTGGCAATAAATCAATTAATTGCCTTAGTGCGGAGCCACCGCCACTGTGCTCGAGCAAGCGTAACAGGTACGACTTTGCGGCTGTAATGCATTTGCGGACCGACAACCCGCGTTCCTATTCGTGCATCCACGCCACCACTAAAGCTGGAGACGTGGCGGCAGTTGCTTGACTGTATGCCTCAGATGGATTCATACGATTCAAGGAGCTGGCAAGCAGCAAGCAAGTTACGAAACACACTTCCTTCTACAGATTCCGACACGAAGGCCCGTCTTTGCGTGCAAGGCGCTGCTGCTACTGCTAGCGCCTCGGCCGTAGTCGCGTCCGCATATGCCTTGCAGCCACAAGTGCCACTGCTGCCCCTCATGTCCCCATGATCCTCTGCCATCCCCCGCCCCACTGCTCAACATGTGTCTAGTTCTCTACATCCAAATCACCCACCATTTCTGTTCCCTCTGAGACACTCCTACAGCGCGGTAGGTGCGGCCACAGACTCTCCGGCAGGAGACTTTCAAGAGAGCACAGGGAGGGCACAGTTCACCATGCGCGCGACAGCAGCCCCAATGTCCTTCTTCGGCTTGCCGCAGGAACCCTCTGACTCTAAAGCGCCCGCCTTGCCAGGCGAATGCGGGATAGGTCCCGGCACCAGCGGTGGACTGTCACAGAAGCCACAGGCAGCTTTGCTTAGAACATGTACCCTCTGGCTGAGCTCTCTAACCTGAACCTGCTCTGGCCAAACAGAAAGGTGCTCCTTAGAAGCCCAAACCGATGACCTCGGCATCCTGAGTCATGTGCTGAGAGCTGAGACCCAAACGCGTGTATCACGTGCTGTAAGCCTCTGAATATTCTGATTTCACGCAGAAGCCTTTCCCAAAGCCCAACCACGGGAGAAGAGGACGGCGATTCAGTCAATGGCGCCTGCCCTTCGGTGGGATCGTCGACACGCCACGGCGCTGTGGTGGCACGTGAACCTGCAAGGCTGATGTGCTGAAAGCGGGAATCCGCTTCGTCTCGCGAACTTCGGAAGAGCAGAGGACGCATTTTCCCACTCTGCACCCATGATCTCTTGCCTGACGTGTAGGTCACGGCAGCTTTCTCTGTCTCTTTCTCGCATTTCGGCCCATATAGAAAGGTCTTTAGAGAGGAACCAGAGCTTATCGTCTACCGTTTTTGTAGCTGTCGACAGATCTGAGGAGCTCTCTCAGGAGTGAAGCAGAAACCGCCCAGCATCAGGCTTGCAGGATCTCTTCCGCGCCCAGGCCGGACTGGTCCGAAAACCTTTGCAAAGCACAGCACACAGATGGGAGTCATGGGAGTGTCCAACATCCCTAAATGCTGAGCTTAGCCCAAGGTGCAAGTGGAACTGGACGAGCCGGCCCACCGTCAACTCCGTCACCCCGACGAGATCAGCCTAAGATGTCAAGAACAGGAAAAAGGCAAGAAAAGCATGACATTGTCGGACATGCGTGCTCCGTCAGCAGCTAGGGCACTACGCTGGCAAAGATCTTGCCCCCGTGTCTCGACGCCTTGAGCGGAGCCGGAACATGGAAGGTCGAGAGAGGGAGAAGACAGTACAACAGCAGGCAGTGCAACACCAGACGCACGGAGCCTTAGCCCAGCATGGCCTTGCAAACCCAAGCCCTTTCCGTTCAGCCTTCAGTGTAGTTTAGGATAGAACTTTGTGAGTTGACCGCAAGGTGGCGGCATGAGCTGCTCGTTTTGGAGTTTTGGATGGGGGCCCGTCGATAAGTCTTTAAGCGTATCTCGCTTGGCTTACTGCGGGCAGTCCTTCTCATGCTGGATGGGCTCCTGTGGCTTGAGCCATCCGTACCTTGGACACTAGCGCTGTTGTAAAACAACGCTCGTGCACACTCCACGCAACAGCGTAGTCAAGCAATGATTGACAGGCTGGCCGTGCACCCCCAAGTTGGACAGTCCTCAAGACACATCCCTCAGGCTAGGTGCTTGCCCTTCCACTCGAGCACCTCTCCGATCATTGGTGTCTCTGAAATTCTCTCCTTGCGTCCGCATGACTTGAATCATGCTCGCAAGTTTCTTTATCGGATCTCATGCCGCCACTGAGGAGGACACTCTGGGCAATGTGTGGCCTTTGCCACGGTTTGGGTTCTTGCCCTTGCCCTTGCCCTTCATGCCTCAACAGACAGCATACACCTTTGATCAAAGGACCTTGGCTTAAGGCCCCTGTGCTTCTCATCTATGGCATCCAGGGGAGCGACCCTTCATGAAGGCTGCCATCATGGCCCTTGGAAGCTTCACTTCCACATCCACCCAGGCAGCGATCAGAACTAGGGAACTCTAAACTCAGAGCGTGCAGCAAATGTTTCAATGCATCTTCACATGATTTGGCTATTAGTCTCACTCGCTGTGCCAAGTCGCATGGGGCTTTTCCCTCCGAAGCCCCAGCCCTGTCAAGAGAGGCCAGTGACTACACCCTTTGCCCAAGTGACTTGTTCTGTCCTTGCCTTCCCGCCGCCACCACCGCCACCCTGCCAATCCTGCTTCATCTGCGCCTGGAGGAGCCGTGAATGCAGGAAAGGGAAGCAAAACGTTTTCACACAATGGTATGCGTTCGTGTGTTTGAGCATTGCCCAGTCGGTGAGTTGAACTTCCGACAACCCTACACTGCAGGCCTGCCAAACTGCCATGATGGCACGGAACGCTGCGGCTGTAAAACCGGAAGCAAGGGCCAAAACTGCTCTGGTGGATCGAAGGTAGCTTGCTGATTTTGGGATGCTTCAGATGCCATGAGTGCAGACACAGCATGGCAGAGGCGTGCCCAAAGCTTCCAATGAGCCTGGACATGGACATTGGGCGGCCTTATCGCCGCCGAGTGTCCCGCCTAGCGCATTCAATGTTAGGATCTCACAAACGACAGGCCTTCTAGAACGGAGCACTCGGATTCTGCGAGGTGCACAGAGTGCCTTCGGAGACACGAGCTCCGGCTGCTTCGGTACATCCCGTACTCGTGGCGGCACCACGACCGGAGTTTTCCTCAAGCTGTCACCATGCTGTGAGAACAAAGGACGACTGCTCCTTCACAGGAGGTTAGCTACTGCATCAAAGGCTGATCTCAGCAGCGCCTGCCCATGACCGACGTCTGGACTACTGGATTTGTCATGGCATTACAAATCCAGCAACACAGACATCAGCAAACAGGTCTATGAGTTTCTGGCACATGCGACACTTCGACCGCGGCCCTGGAGACAATCTTTTTGTGTAACGTACGTCGAGGACTTCGGCCGATTTGCGAATTCAGCTGGGTGACGTACTGGCGTAGACCTTCCGAAAGCATACTGGGGCCGCTGCGCAGGGACCGCAGTCCCGGCAGGTCTCGCTCCGGCAGGACTTGTCTTGGATTCATCCTTCCTCAGAATTCAGATACGCAGCAAGACCCAACGGCCCTAGTGGCCTAAGGTCTCAGGACTCCGAGACAGTCCGTCCTCAAGTGCTTCAGTCAAATACAGATTTTCAGAAGCTGCGCAGTAGCAGAATGCCTTCAGCCTTTATACTCACCATTCGAGTCGTGCCGGGTGACGAAACTCCTCCTGCGGGCTGGAGGGGCATCGTGCCGACCGCACCCATGCCCTTCTTCTGCCGCTCCTCTCATCAAGCCCGCTCTCTTCCATGGTTCTGGTTGACTTCGGTAACAGGAATTGTGCCCAGGCGTGAGCTGCAAAGGCATTGTCGCGCATCTTTCCTGGCCTTCTCAGCGTTCTTCTGCGCCAATGCCTGTGCAAGTGCCTCCGAGCTGGCTTGACTTCCGGGACTTATATGATACCTCTGACTTATCCTTCAACTAACAACGACGTGTCTGAAAGGAGACAGGGAAAGATCCCAGCCTGCCCCAAGTTCTTGGGGTTGATGGCACCCGGACGGGCCATCGGCGCCGGGTTGAGCCTCAGACATCGTCTACACATTGGCAACATATGATGCTGCAGATAGAAGCTCTGAGGGGCCAACGCTGCCGCAGGAATGACCTGCTGGAGACAAGCTGCAAATAGCTCTCGGGGTGTGTCCGCTCTCGGGGTGCACGGCCTCTGGCAAAGGCGGCAGCTCTGGCCGGTCAACCCCGTCGCCCTCCTTGCTCTCAGCGTCCTCAATACTCTGCCAACTTTCCCGACCGCCCAACGGCACCTCCAACAGCTGCCGCAACAGTGAAAGACAACTCGTATGAGAACTGTGACGCAGTACAGCAAGCAAACTGCGAATTCAAAGGGCTTGGGGTCTTGTAACCCACGCGTCATGACATGCATTGAAAAGCAAGAGAAGTATTCAAACCAGCCATGACTGGCTGTCCTAGGCTGTATTCTCGTCCGAGGCAACTGTCGAAGTGTGCGAAGAGACAAAAAGCAAAGACTGCAAAGACTATCATTTGATCAAGAAGCTTCTCGATCGTGCACAGAAGTGGCCAGGTGAGAGGACCAACGAAATCGCTGGGCAAAAGCGAAGGCGCAGGCACGGAACCCCGACGAGGTCCCATGTCTCTATGTCCCCACTCGGAGATCTCAAGCCCAAAAAGCCCACAGCCCTGTAAGAGTCGGCTCCCGTCCTGGGCTGTGCCGGGTCGCACGGCCTGAGTGCAGACGTCTTAAGCGTTGAGGCTTTGGGCTTCGGGTTCTTGGCTGGGGCTGTTGGACCGGAGAGCTCCGCCGGCAACATTTCGATTTTGCATACTTGGTCGATTAGTCTTTTGCTTTGCTCCTTAGCAGCCTTTCCCGAATCCCACGAATCCGGAAACCGTGCGAAGATTCCACTCGGACCCAAACAACCGAGAAGGCAGTCCAGCGCAAAAAAGCAAAGCAAATGCTGTGACACAGCACCAAGGCCGTTGCTCCGCCAAACGGGACCTTGCCTCCTGCATCGACACGTCGTTTGAAAAGTTTGGCAAAGAAGTGACTTGAGGGCTTCGACAAAAGCGCATCTGGCACGCTGCAGTGCACCAAAAGCTATTTACTGAGCGGGAATGATTTCAGTTGCCAGCATAACAGCCACACTAAACTTCTACAAACAGCCCCCCGAAACTCGTGGCCTGGAGCTCGGATCAATGGGTTACGGGATCTCGTGAAACTAGCACCTTTACATGACCCTTCAAAGCCTGTTTTGTGATGCCGCGGAACTTGTGCTTTTCTGGAGCGAAACTACACAACCGGTCGGTCACAAAGCCTGCATCACCGTCACGGAGTGGGGCAGCCACCAAGAAGTTGGCCCTATTGGGTGCGGATCTTTTGCCCAATGCGACAGAGACTGGAGCGACTAGGGGAACAAATCGCGAAGGAAGTCGTCGATGTCATCCTCCCGACTCCGAATGTTCGGGTCAGGGCCTTGCCAGGCCAACGTCTCAAGAAGTCGAAGGTCTGATGCTGTTGGGGCTTCGACAGAGTGAGATCCGTGCGTAGGAGCTGCATCTTGCCCCTCTTCCGCTGCATCTTTGTCTCGTTGTCTTTCATCTATCCCGTCTTCTGCATCAAGATCATGATTCAATGGCTTCTCCGTTCCCGACACGGCCTGAACCTCCTTTCGCCGCTTCCGTGCCTTCTTGAGTCGCCGGTAATGCAGCTTGAAGGCGCAATCCTGACATAACCGCACTTTGACCAAAGCTCGCTTCTGGCGCTCTTCGACATATGCGAAGTCAACTTCGTAGCTTTTCAGCTCGTTCCGGACAAGGCAATGCTTATGACCACAGCTAAACTGCCCTCGACCATTTAGCACTTCCGTTTCTGTCCGCCAACGGAAGCCCACTCGCCCGTCGCGATAGCCAGTCAAGTCACAGATCACGTACTCTTTGAACAATCGGTCGTAGTACCTGCGTGCCAGCCTTGACTCCCACGACACATCATCGGCCTCACTGCCACGCAAAAACTGATGGTTTTCTTTCAAGATGTCATAGTCGGATTTCATCCTAGTTATCCTTGACTTCTTCACGAGCTCCAGCAGTGCTTTATGATATTGGAGACTTGGACGAGGTCGCGTCTCGGCTGCAGTCGGCCGCTGCTGCAAATCGATGCCAGCCCGCTGGCGCGCACGGCCGTAAGAGCTCTGCTGAATTCCGTAGTCTCGAACCTCTGCCGTAGTACGCTTCCGCGTGGGACGATCTCCGGGCAGCTCACCGTAGCCGTAAGGAAGGGGCGCCGGCCCAGACTCGTCATCAGAGCCATAACCTGCCGCGCTGGCACCGGGCATGGCCACATCTCCCAGAAGAGCAAGTTCTGTATTGCCTAATTCTCCTTATTTGACCGTTCTCATTCGGAATAGCAGGCGGCACTCTCCAACATACTTTTGTTGCGGTTTTTGCAAGCCTCGAGCTTGTGGCGGTTTGGGCTAAAACACAATGCAACATACTGCTGCGGACAATAAGCTTTGCACTCAGCCGTGTATGGATCAACTAGTAACTAGCAACTCGTTGATGTACGGGAGCACACCGCCTGGCCTGGCACTCCATATCTTTGTTGCCCAGACCTTTGCACAAGTAACACTGCTAACACCATGCAATCCTTCGAAACCTGCGACGTCACCTGAACTCTAATTGAGGGCCACGCTTCGCAAAGGGTCTATTGAACACATGCTGCATCGTCCCATCGTCAGCACTTGCTGATCAGTCCATCCTCAAAGCTACTATGGCTGCGGTTCTGCGGTTCCTCGTGATCCTACCGCAAGACATACCATCTTAGACGTACGTACAAAATTGGGAAAGCAGCGCTCAAAACCTGTCTTTTGCACTGATTTCGCATCCAAAAAATACACCCTAAAAAGTCAAGGAAGACACGGCCTGGATCTAGCTGAAGGAGGCTGCTGATTGCAAGAGCGACTGCAACACGGAAAAATACTTGCTTGATTAAATACATTGGTCTTCAAACGTCGATGTGCATGGAAATGTCCCAACAGCGCCGAAAACGAATGTGGCTTGTCGCTTTCGCTTGCTGGAAAGTACTATTCGTGTTTCACCTTAATGATTGCAAAGATGACTAAGATGATCGATTTCATTTCCTCGCTTCTTTTCCACAACTGAAAGCACGTGCATGCAGCTTCTCCCTCGCGCTTGTTACAGACTATTTCGAGTTAAGACCTCTGAAGGCAAAACACCGAAAGCGGGAAAAGGTGCGTGCGGAATGTTTTTTTGTTTTCACAAGCCTTTGTTGAAGGTCGGGGAATCTTCTGTGAAAACGCAGATGCTCCGTCGTACAATGGATCGATTGAAACGGTGGCAACTCAAGAACTCTATGTCGACAGAATACAAATTGCTTGAAAACATTGAAAGCTAAGCAGATGCAATCACAGATCAGTTTGTTGACAAGTGAGGGAAAGAAAACCGCAAGATGATGACACCGCCCGTCAAGGATCAAGCCTTTGGAAACTGTCTGAATTTTCCAACAATTCCACTACTTGTTGGCATAGCTTACAACTGATGCAGTAAAATCGACCGTTCGATTGGACCTTGAGCGTATCGGGTTCAAGACCTGGAGAGCACTGTACGACAGAATCTCATTGCCGGACAAAGCACGTCACGGCATGTGATTTACCCGAGCAAAATCACTGACCACAAGTTTGAACGAGTTCATCAGATTGAAGAACAAGCACGAGAAAGCAACCGCAAAGAAATTGGAGTATGAGAAGGACTGGAGCCAATCAAGGAAGATGGCACACGTCAATCACTCCCAGAACCCAGCAGTGCAAATACTGAGACTTGCGAGTTTTTTATCCAGAAGCTAGATCTCATAAGTTAAGCAGAGCTTGCAACACGACATGAGAAGGTACATACTTGCGTGGCAGAGCAACTCCACACGAGCAAAGAACCTACATTAAAAATACTGTCACCCTGCAAGACAAATTCTAGTGTGCCACCAGTTTACAAGTGTTTGCTCGTACATGTCATTGTTGGATGCTGTTCAGCTTTACGAATCACACAAACAACTAAAATCGAATAATTTCTGACTGGTAGCTGTGCTGTGCATCACTCCAAATTGGTAACTAGCAACGCAGTCCATTTCCGCCGATGTTGCTTTGTGCTTTGGAACCTTTGCACGTTCTTTTGAGTCGATTGGCCTCCAACAATCGAATTTTTGAAAATTGCGATTCTCAAGTGGAGTCTCTGCAGCACAGTTGAAAGGACCAGATTCTGTTGCTGAGAAAAACTAAAAGAAGCACGATGGACAAAATCACAGGTCGCAGCCGCTGTGGGCTGAGTTCGTCTTGCCAAGGGGCCTGTGATCTGCAGGACAACAAACGATCTGAGTTCCATTGATGTCTTTTAAATTCTTGCCAAGTGACAGGAGAAGTTTCAAAGAGTTCTACTACAGCAGAAAAAACAAGAGAAAGTCAAATTTTGAAAAATCGTTTTGTTGTTCCTCTTGTCGGTGGCACCAAACTTTGAAATGTGTCAGTAATCGCACGGATACTGCGCAAATTTTGACACATATAAAAACATCAAAACGAAAGTCAGCTGGCCATCGCGCACAAGACGGACTCCAACCGAAGATCGGACGATTTTGTTTCGGGTTTATGAAACTTTGCAGGCAACATCCGGAGACCTTCACGAAGGGGCTTCGGTGGCGAAGGGGGCTTCATCTTCGCCTTCGAAGCCTTCGAAGGCTTCGAAGCCTTCGAAGGTGAAGAGTCGAAGGGGGGCTTCGAAGGGGGCCTTGAAGCCTTCGAAGGCTTCGAAGCCCAGGACGAAGCCCCTTCGTTTTCGCCTTCGAAGCCTTCGAAGCCCCTCTTCCCCTTGGAAGCCTTCGAAGTCCTTCGTCCTCACCTTTGAGGGAGCTTTAAGTCAGACTC